GCAGGGCCCAGCTCTGACAAAGATCAAGCTGGTCCCTTCAAGGAAAGCAAGAGAAAATGGGCAAGGGGTTCAGCCTGCAGGGCTGAAGGCACTTGACTGACACAAAAGAAGGCAGGATTAACTCTCTGGGGTGCTGAAGTGGCACCCCATAAGGGTGGGTCTGGTGGATCATTATGTCCTGGTTTTGGGGGACTCCTTACAACTCGAGGGGTTACTTGGTCCCCATGAGACGGTCATTCTTCTTTATGGGGTAGCTTGGTTCCATCATGAGTGACTAATCGTTCCTACTTGGGTGGGATAACCTTTCCTGGAATCTGGGGTGATTGGCGGTTAGGCAAGAGATCGGATTCTAAGCATTGCTCGAGGGAGGGGTCTGGAACTGGACTTGGCTTGGTGTCCTCAGTCTTAAAGAGGGATGAGATCTGCTGTGTGGATTTAGGTGTAATAACCCTGGTATGAAGGACACTCCTCAAGCGATGACTGTGCCTGTTTGCAGAGCTGAGCAGCGATCTCACCCAAAGCTTTAAGGTCATAAAAGAGAGCAGTATGGAGGTAAAGGCAGGGATGCCAAGCTGTGCCCTGCTTTTAGTCACCCAGCCTCTTTTCCTGTTCCATTGTCAGCAGACGCAGCTCGAGGATAATGGGACGCTGTGGGGTTACCCATCCTGGACCCCTCCCCGTCTCCGTGACGTATCTTAACTGCCTGGCGTGTAGTAGGTACTAAATAAAAAGTAGCTGTTTCTATTCATTTCCTAACTGCAAATCAGACATGACATTTTTTAAAAAGCTAACATTTACTGAGCCCAGAGGGCCCCTTCTTCTGAGTTCACTTTCTCTCTGTCTCCCTCTTTCTCTCTCCTTCCCTTTTGCAGTGCTAGGGTCTGAGCCAGGGCTTTGTACATATTAGACAAGCACGCTACCACTTGCTACATGCTCAGCCCCGTTCCGAGTTCTCTGTGTATTAACTCAAGTCACAGTCCCGGAAGTTGTATGAGAAAGATGTGGTTTCCACACTTATTTTACAGACAAGACACAGACAAGTTAAATAACTTGGCCAGGTTGCACAGCTGTTAAGAGGCAGTCAGGATTCACACCCAGCAATCTGGCTTCACACCCTATAGTTTAAGCACCAGAGCCCGAAGTGTTCCCGAGATCTGTAGGGGTTCATGCTGTCGCCGAGGACTGCTGTGGCAGCCAGCGATTCTGTGTGCCTGGCTCCATACAAGCAGCAGGAGCCACTGCACCAGTCGCTGTGCACTTGAGGTGAGGGGTCCCCTCGGCACTACTGACGGTCGCAGTGATGGCTGCAGGATGCAGAAGCTCTTTTCAGGAACCCAGTTGCCTCTGGATGGGAGGCACCGAAAGCAGCCAGCATTTTGTCTGGACCGGTCTGGAGTGGTGGGGAAGTCAGTCGCGGTGAAAACCTGCATCAGCTGTGAAGCATCCCTTTCTGCTCACCCTTCACTTTGCCCTGGGCCCTGCTCAGCTGGGGCCTGGGGTCAGGGCATGGCAGCCTTGGCTCTGCGCAGGCTGAGGCCCGGCCACTTTTCCAAGGTTCCAGCTATAGGGAGCTGGCAGAGCAGGAATGGGGGGTGCTGCCGACTCCCCTAAAGCAGCCTTCACTGAAGCCTGGTTCCTGGGAGAGAAAGAATCTCTGAACAAAGCCGGGGAGACTGCCCCGTCCTCTTCGAGCACCTCGGCCTCACGTGATCCTTCTACTACTTGTCCTAGGGACACACGGGCACAGAACCTGGCCTGCAGGGGTAGACCGGAGGGGAGCCAGGGCTGTGGCGCAGCCCCAGGAATTCTGGGTAAAAACATGAGCTGCCTTCTCATTGGATACTTCCTTGTCGCCGTGGACTTGGAGGTGACTTTGGGGGATGCTGACAGAGACCATGGAGGAGGCAGAGCGTCTTTACCTCATTCCTGGCCATCTCGGCTCTGCCAGTGCCCACCACGGTGGCTCCACATCTGGGGTTGGGCTGATGCCTGAGGCCACTGCAGGGCCAGGGCCAAGCAGGCTGAGAGGCAGAGCCCGCGGTGAGGGGGCACCTGGTGGCACTTGCTGTCTGCTGAATCCAGGAAACCGAGGGCCAGCAATCAGGATTTCAGAGGCCATTGAGTGAGGACTGACAGCAGCAGGATGGAGGAGGGGAGGCAAGGAGGTCAGTGTTACCATCCCGGGAGCAGACTAGGAAGGAAGGAATGCCCCCCCACCCCCCGTGTTCCTTCAGCAGCAGGGGTGAATAGTGGGCCAGGCTGGGTGCTGCCTTGGTCTCTCTCTGTCCATTTTCCCCTTAATCCTTTCTGTTACTCCATTTGCCATCACAAACCCCATGCTGTGATGAAAAGACAGGGCTTACAGCGGCCACATAATTTGCCCAAGGTCACAGTGTACAGTGGCACAATGAGGAGAATGAGGATCGAAGACATTGGGTCTCACAGCCACTGAGATAGTTACTGAGGACCTGTTCTATACCACCAGGCTGGATGAGCAGATGTCCTCAGCCTCATGGAGCTTATGGTCTCATGGGGTCCCACGGGGTCTCAGAGAGGACAAGGGTGACAAGTACTGCAGAGGAGTGGCACAGGGGCCACAAGGGAGAATAGGAGTCCAGGAACTGAGACTTGTAAGATAGAAGGGGTTGGTGTGGTGAAATGGGATGAAGATTAGAACATCATGTGCAAAGGTCCTGTGGCAGGAAAACAAACTTTCGAGATCTAAACAGCAACGAATGCAGCTGGAGGATGGGGTAAGGGAGTAGGCAGGGCTTGGTGAGGGTGGAGTGTGGATAAGATACACACTGGAGATGCTGGTGTAGGAGACTTGCAAAAAGAGAGGGAAGGAGGGCAGCCAGAAGATAAGGAACTTCTGGGGAAGAGGGGGAAGCTATCGATTTGTGGACCAGGGGAGGATCAGCATCCAGACCCAGATCCTCAGCCAACCTCTACCAAACCCACAATGAGACCTTGTATGACCCACCCATGCTTTTGGGCTTCTTGTGTCTTAAAAAAGCAAAGAACTAGGGCTGGGGATTTAGCTCAGCAGTATAACTGCCTGCTTCCCAAGTGCATGGTGTGAGTTCGATCCCTGGTACCGATGCAAGGAAAAAAAAAAAAAAAAAAAAAAAAAAAAAAAAGGCAAAGAACCCGTTCTCCTTTGCTTTTGAGCCACAGACAGCTACCTTTCCTCAAGGGACCCACAGTCCTCCGCATCTCCCCAGCTTGACCTAGCTCCTGCCTGTGCCAGTGTCACCTCGGCCTCAGGAGAGGCAGGCAGCAGAGACTTTACACACAGGTGTTTGCAGAGGCACAGAGGCGGCTGCACAGGAAGGTGGCAACTCTTGCAGTTAGTCTCAGTTTTGTTGGAGGCAGCTTTGTGTGAGGCTCCGGGATCTTTCAGTTCATCTCATTAAACACAAGGATCATTTCAGCAGTCCCAGGCATCCAGAGGGGCGCTCTGCGCTCTGTGCCAGTCTTAAGGCCGAGGCTTTCTCTAGTCGGAAATTCTGCAGTCTCACCTGAGGCCTGCAGAGCCTTCCCTGGGGCAGGGTGGGGGCGGGGCCGGGAGCCAGGGGAAGCATTTCTTTCCCGGGAAACAGGAGAGAGCAGCAGTCCCTGCTCCTCGGCTGCAGCCATCTCAGGTGACAGAGTGTCTGTGCGTGTGGGGAATCCCTTCCGCCCCCCTCTGATCACCCTGACCTTGAGCCCTTGACCCTCAAGTCCTCCTTTCCCTCCAGAGAAAGCGAGGGACGGCTGAGCTGACCAGTCTCAGGGGTCCTTCCTCCACCCAGACATCCCGTTACCCTGTGCACCCCGCCAGGTGTCTGGGAGCGGCAGCCCACAAATGTCCGAATCAGCTCTTCTGCAGATCAGCCTGCAGAGAACAGCGGTGCTGCCTGGCTGCAGCGGCGGTTACCGGGAGCGACATCAGTGTCCTGGGGCTGGGGACTTGCAGAGGAGGAGGAGAGGGGTTCACTGTGGTATTGGGATTTCACAGGCTCCTCAGATGGAGTGGGGGTCAGAGGGTATACAAAGCCCCAGGGAATTTGCCCAGGTGCACACCTGCAGGGTTCGGGGTGGGGGTTGGGGAGCGGGGATACACTTCCTGAGTCAAACCCTAAACTTGGTGCTGGAAAGAATGCAGAGCAGGAGGCAGACAGAAAGTAGCCGCTGCGGAGGCCGAGGGAGGCCGCGGGATGGGGCAGGGTGCAGCGGCTCACACGGTCAGGGATGGGAATTCCCTGCCGCCTGCACAGATTCCAGCTGGTCACTGGGGTCCTGAGGTCTCAGCAGTGGGTGGGTGGGGGTCGGGCCTCTAGCCCTCCCCTTGCTCTGCGCACAGGCCTTGCCCGTGGGGAGGGGGCTCCCCGCCCGGGCCGGCACAGAGTCCCCCTCTCCCGCCAGGGTCCTCCCACCTTCCTCAGCCGGGGCGCCAGTCCCCGCTACGCGCCAGGCTGATGGGCAGGTGCTGGGGCTTCACCTCTCCTCCCCTCCAGTGGCTTTGTTCCTCCTCCTCCTCTTCCTCCTCCCTCCCTTTTCTCCCTCTACTCAGGAAAACCTTCTCCGCATCCCAGAAGCAATTTTTTGTCTCCCACCGCCTCCCTTCTCCCTCCCACAGCGGGGCGTCCCCTCCCCCGCCATCCGCACCGCGGCCCTGGAAGCTGGGGGGCGGGGTGGGGGCGGGGAGACTGTTGCGGGAGCGCGGGGAGCGGGGCTGGGTCCCCCGCAGAGCCGCGAGCCCCTGGGGGTGCTGTGGCTGCAGGCCTGCCCGGGCCGCCCCCTAACTTCTGTGAAGCCGAGGCAGGCTGAGCCCCTTTTCTTCCCCGCTGGCTCACTCTTGCACACGCCTTCCTCCCCGCCTGGTTCTCCTCCGTCTCCGCGGGCAGGGCTGGGGTCCGCCGGGATCGGGGCGGGGCGGGGTCCCGGCTGGGTCGGGGCGGGGTCTGCTCGGGTCGCCCGCTCGGCCGGCGCAGCGTGTGCAGGCGGATGTGAGGCGCATCCCGATTGGCGGCGGGCGGGCGGGGGAAGCGGGGCGGTTGTTACTACCGCAGAGGGAGCCGCGCGGCGCGGAGCCGCAGAGCGGCCGCTGGAGGGACGCGGGGACCTCGGCTCGCCCCGCGGGTGCCGGCCCCTGCCAGCCCCTGCCCACCGGTAAGAGAAGCTCCTGGGTGGGGGCCAGTGCCAGGGCAGTGTGTGGTCCCCAGCGGAGCCACGCCCCGGCCACCAGCGGGCCACCTCGAGGGCCTGGGGCGCGGGTGGAGGCGGCGTCCCCAAACTGGGGCACTCCGACTTTCCGGGCTTGGTGCTTTCCCCGGGATACACTCAGCCCAGGATCGAGCTCCCCGAGCCGGGGCTCCGGAAATCTACTTGCATTAGAATTACCGGTTAGTCCCGCGGGAGGTGCCCTGGATGATCCTGGGGCCAGCTGTGGGGGTGCTGGCAGAGCTGGAAATGGGGTGCAGTTTAGCTCTGTTTCTCCTCGTGGGCAGCCCAGAACGAGAGTGGGGAGAAGGCGAGGGAGGCAGGGACTCGGACCCGAATGGGGGACCAGGGGCGCTCGCCGCGGAGGAGCCACGGGAAGGGACGCGCAGGAAAGTGATGAGCGGGGGTGCGGTGAAAAGTGGGTGCGGGGCGCGTGGGACCTCATCCGTCTCTCGCCACAGTGAGGATGAGTTGAGGGATCTCGCGTGTGAGGACCTCGGGAGCCCCCTGGTGCAAAGTGGGACACGGGGTGGGGTGGGGGGCGGGAACCGCTGGGGCGCACAGCGCGCTGCCCTTCGGTGTTCCTGGCCTGCCGCAGCCGTCCGGGACCGGGATCCACAGCCACGTTTCCTGCCCCTTCGTCCCCCTGAACTTTTTCACAGTCCACGCAGCACCTAGCGCTGTGCACTGGGAGAAGCTGGAAGGTGAGGAGGCTGCTGGGCTGCAGAGCGTGGAGGGACCGGGCTGGGGTTGTGTGGGGAGGGGCAAGCGGGCCCTTGAGTTCGGCACACAGTTTGCCAGGTGACCTTTGACAAGCTGCTGTTCCTCAGAATGTCAGGGTGATCGAGGTGCGTGGTACACGGGACAGGACCGGGAATGACGCGGAGGGGGTTGCTGGGGTGCAGGAGCCCACGGGCAGCCCGAGCCTCCGTGCCTGGGAATTCTCGCCGGCTTCTCTGCAGCATGCACAGCGCACACTTCCTGGGGAAAGTAGGGGCCGGCAGTGTGGACCAGGCGCCCCAGGAGAGTCCAAGGCATCTATGCTGACCTGTCCTATGACCTTGGGCAACTGTCTATCGCCTGCTGCAGTATCTCCATCCAAATGGGGCTTGGGACTTACAGAATCAGAAGCCTCCCCAATCTGGACACCTGCTGGTTCATACTTACAGGTGAGGCTCACTGAAGGGATGCGCTAGGTAGGCCACCTAGTTCTGGGGAGACTGCGCCCTCGCCCCTGGACAGGCAGCAGCGTTGTGAGGCTCACAGCCTGCTCATGCACCACCCCGCTCCTTGTGGCTTTCCAGTCCTGCACACCTCTTCCCGCGGGGCACGGCTGCCCCTGCCCACAGGGTTCCTGTGGAGGTTAAAAGGGGGGAATGTCAGGAGCCTCCCAAGGTCGCACCGTTTTCTTCTTTGTCTCCAGGCAGGACTGCATCCTCCTCCAGCAAGGACGAGCTGAAGGCACCTCCTCTGTCTAGAAAAATCTCCACTCCCAGAACTCGCAGCCTCCCGCTGGGCAGTCTGGCAGCTCTGGGCATAGGAAAGTCTACCCCAACTCCTTGCTGGGGTGCACTTCTGCCCCCACTTGAGAATTGCTAGCCTCTCCTTGGGCCTCAGGAGTTGCGGGACAAGTCCTGCTGGAAGATCAGAGTGGAGTTTAGTTTGTAGGCTCTGCCTGTGACCTTGAGTGACCTTGGGCAAGCCCCTTTCTTCTTTTTCTCACCCCTAGGTTGTGAAAGTAAACTAGGTAAATTCCCAGGACTCTTCTCCCCTGCAGATGTGTGGGCGGATTTCTCCGCTGGTACCTGAGGGGCAGAAAGTGGGCTTGAAGGGATGAGGAAACAGGTAGTCACTAGGGACTCCCAATGCTCCGCCCCGCTCTGCTTCTGTCCCCAGAATGGGACTGCTTAAGAGGAATACAAGGATTGGACCATTTTTAAACTCCTGCGCTTTAAAAATCCCTGGAGCCCCCGGCTTACTGGTGATCAGCTGGGTGACCTTGAGTCAGTGTCTTTATAAAAATCTTTGCGCTTTCAGGACGCAGTTATCAAAACACAGTGATGGTATTTTAGGATTAAACAAGAAACGTGAAATACTGCATACAACCCTGAGCCCTCCGAGTCCTTCCCGAGGGGTAGCTGTTGACAACAGCGGCAGTGTAGCACGTTAGCAGGTGGGCAGCGGCCTCTGTGGACAGCAGCCATGTGGCAGGCAGGGCAGGCTTCTTGGGCCTGCGGTGTGACCGTCCCTACATTTCCAGAGCGGCCCTGCAGAAAGGGAGCTGTCTCTGTCTGACCGCTAGAGTCACTGCAGTGGGGACTTCACAGGAAGGAAAGAGAGCGCTCGGCTTCCTGATGGCCTGTCTCCCACTTGCTCTCTAGTCCTTCCTGTCCTCCCCTCTGCCACCTTTGCTCCCTTCTGTGGTCATAACCGAATGGGCTCCTTACTCTGCTCCCTCAGCCTTCCGGGACTGAGCCAGCTGACAGTGCTGGGGGCGGATGTCCCTGAAGCAGGTGGTGCTGGAAGGGAGGCAGTGCAGCTCCTGCACCCCAGGGGTGAAGACCCGAGGACGCCAGGCCAGACCAGTGCTGGTGGGAGGGGAGAAAGCCGCCAGGGCCAGTGCTTTTGGTTTTCTCCAGCCTCACTCTGTGATCTTAGGCAAGCCTCGGTGGCTTCTGGGTCTCACTTGCCACGTGTGGAAGTGGGTGTTTAAATGAAGAGGAGTCCTTCCGCCCTCTTGTTCCCTGGCATGGTTGTCTCTGCCTTTGCTGAGGTTGTGTGGGGTGTTGTTGGGAGGTTTGGGGGGTTGTTCGGGCATCAGGTGTTCACTGGTCTTGGTTCTATCCTCTCACGCAACCACAACCAGGTGCCCATCTTGGTGTTCTCTTTAATAGCTGTATGGATTTAGGCAAATTCTTTAGCTTCCCTAAGCTTCTTTTATCTCATCTGTGAAATGGGGACAATGTTTCTTATCTCTTAGGTTTCATATGACCATCATGTGGGAATAATTTATATAAGACTGGCAATCTTAGTGTGATAAACTAGTGCTATGCGGGAATGGGTTTTTTGAGGGTCTTTGGGGTCATAGAGGGGCCCAGGCAGAGACAAAACTCACAGAGCCAACCTGAAGCTGGCACCACACATAGGCTTCTCACGCCCCTCCCACTGTGCACTGCAGGTGTTAGCGTGTAGCGGTCCTTGTCACAGAACCTTTGGAGGACAGCTTGGCTGTGTGGGGCTGCAGGGCGAGCAGATGTGCTCATGAGCACGGAAGGGACACGGGCGGGGTGGGGGACACACCCTTGTGACTGGTCCCAGGAAAAGGCTGAAGGAGCTGGGACCCTGCTACCCTCAGCCGGCTGTGAGGAAAGGGAACTTTGGAGTGCACTGGAGAGAAGCCTGAGGGGCCATCGGCCAGTGCTCTGAATCTGGGGAAACTGAGGCTCAGTGCTGCACAGCATGTTAGCGCCTGCAGTGGAGGCGCTCTGGTGCGCACAGGTGGTCCCTCGGTCCAGGGCTCCCTCCATCTTCTCTAAGCAGCGAGCTGTTACTTTCATCCCTTGTCAAGTCAGACCTGGATTGCAGTGGGAGGGACAGAGATCCTGATCCAGAGACTGAGATTATTGGGACCAACATCCCTATGTGCGGATTCAAATGCTGAGGTCCAGGAAATTAAAGGACCAGCAGGAGGTTCCCTAGCCTCTGAGGCCGGGCTGCCATGCTGTTCTGCTTCTCTTGAATCAGACACGCCACATGGCAGCAGGACAGCCAGAATGTGAAGACTAAACCCAAATGGGCCTGGGGAGGGGACGGAGGACAGAAAGACAAAACAGAAGGCCAGAGACTGCTCCATGACTTCCAAGACTACGCTTTGTTTTCTTGGCCCACCTGCTCCTGAGCCACTGGGCTGACAGCCCGTCCTTCCTCTCCTTTCTCAGAGCGAGAGGGACAATAGTCAGCCCATCCGTCTCTGTGTCACAGGCGATGCCGCCGAGTGAGAGAAAGTCAATATTTGGTGGCAAAGGACCAGCAGTAAGTCTGACTTGGGGAGGGGCAGGCAGGGCTGGGCCTGGCCAGGGCGAGCAGTTCTGGAAAGCAAGTCTGGGGAGCGAGCCCTTGACTTCTGAAGGAGCCTGAGGGTTTTCCACTCTGAATAACCCTTTGTGTCTCAGAGGTATCTGGAGTGTGCTGGCCTTGTTCACCCCCATGTCCTCCCGAATAAATTTCCTGTATTGTTTGGGGCTGACGTTTCTCCGGCTTCCAGCTCTCTAGAGAAATGGGACTTCTGAAGCTTTTGCAGCACCGACGCTGAGCAGATGGCCCATTGAGCCGGTCCCAGGCAGAAGCTGCAGGCTGAGACGCTGTCTTCCTTATGTGGGCCCCAGGGCTGAGGGAAGATGGGGAGAATCCTTGGCAGGTCAGCAGAGGCCGGCACCCCCTTTGTTTTGTTATTTTCCATTTTACCTCTCTGCATCCTGCTCCTGTTGATCACAGTCCTGAGACTGCAGAGGGCTGGAAGAGCTGGAAGAGCCTCTCTCCAAACCAAATGAAATTCTCGAACCCGGAGCAGCTGCCGGCCGCTTTAATGGTTTTTGTGATTGCGGTGTTGCTTGCAGAATCGAGCCTTAGCAATTTCACAAAGGGTGCATTCGAAAGCAGTTCGAGGCGATGGGGCTGCACTGCAGCAGGAAGGGCTCCTGTGGGGTACGAGGAAGGACTTCCCAGCGTGGGAGCTGCCGGCGTGGATGAATCTGAGAGGCGGGCAGCCGTGGGAGGCGATCTACTGAGCTCTGAGCTCGCTCAGAAATCAGCCAGTGCTGCTACCCGTCCCTGATGGGGCTGCAGTGACAGACACTCCTAGGGCCCAGAGCGATGCCCCAAGACTGAACCTGGCTCATGGCCCCCACACTGAACACCAGGAGAGATCCGTGGAGACCAGATAGACAGAAGGACCACCCAAGGCTTCTGTTTTGTCCCCAGCCGTGGGGTTGGGGAACCTAGCTAAGTGATAGAGTGCCCAGGCCTCAGCCTGCGGCCAGGCAGATGCTCCAGGACCCCTGAGCCGCCTGCAGCCTGCTTGCAGCCTGTGCTCCCCTAACCCCCTTGGCCAGACTTTCAGCAGCCTTCTGCTCGGGGACAGACTGCAGCTTCTCCCCGAGCCCTCCCTCCTCTTGTGGTCCAGCACATGGTGCATCCACCTCCCAGGCTGAGGAGGACTCTCACATCTGTGCCCTGGCTGGAGCAGGCACCCCAGGCCTCTCTCCTGCCTCTTGGGTGTTGGGTGTTGGCAGGGCCTGTGCTTTGTGGTGTGGGTGCTGAGGTCCAGTGTGTAGGACTGCAAGTACTTGAGCTAAGTGCCCTGCTTCAAATCCAGAACCTTCATGTTTTTAGCAATGGGACTTGAACTTATTTAAACACTTGTTACCTCATTTTCCTCATCTTTAAAATGGGAATGAAGTAGTTTGAGTGCCATAGGGTTGATACGAAGATTTACTGTATTAATACCTACACAGTGCTCCAAGGGTAGGGTAGCAAAGTGCTTTAAGGGTTTAGCTATAAAGTACTACAAAGATGGTGACTATGACATTTCTTAAAACTGACAGGAGCTAATTGTAGTAGCAGATGCCTGTAATCTCAGCACTCTGGGAGGCTGAGGCAGGAGAGTTGCAAGTTCAAGCCCAGCCTGATCAATGTAGAGACATAATGAGATGAGGTCTAAAAATTTTAAAACTTGGTGGGAAGTTTGCTGAGGAGGTAGCTCAGTGCAAAAGTTCTGGGTTTAATCCCCAGTATTGCAGGGGAAAAAAAAAATCTAGTGTCTATTTAGTTGCCCTCATGGCCACAGGGGGGGTGTTTCTGCCCCTTCTGGACCCCAGCTGCAGCCCCCTGAAGGATGGGAGAAGTTGCCTGTGTCCTCCCTGCCCCCCAACATCCTGGGGACCGAGTGAGGCGGATGATCACTCGGTGGAAGGGCCAGGTGGCCTCTTCCTGTCATCGTGCAGGGACACACGCAGGCTTCCTGGCTGAGGCCTGGGCAGGTCAGGCTGACTACACATGGCACCAAACCCAGTGGGCTGCTCTCCCAGTGAAGCTGCTCGGATTCTGGGTGGCTTTGGCTGGCTCTCGCTCCTCTTGTTTGCTGATCTTCCTCATTTGGCAGGGAGGGGCT